CTATCAACAAGAATAAATCTCATAAGCATAATGTTGAGTGAGGAAAGCAAATTGCATAAAGTACATGAAGAGTGGCACTATTTCTGTAAAGTATTACATATTGTTTAGGGATAGACACATATGTAGTAAATGTATAAAGACACACATGGAAATGATCAAGATCAAATCTGGGATAGTGAAAACCTTGGGATGGAGGTATATACAGAGGCTCTGATAGTAGTGGTAGTGCTTTCTTTCTTTCTTTTTTTTTGCATGTTTAGAAGTTTAATGAAGAGATGCAAAGATGGATGGAATTATGGTTTGAATGTAAACCTCTTTTTTTCCCTTGCTAAAGATACATGTATATCTTTATATATTTAATTTATTAGGGTGACAATGGTTAGTAAAGTTACATAGGTCTCAAGTGTACAATTCTGTAATACATCATCTATATATCACATTGTGTATTCACCACCCAGAGTCAGTTCTCCTTCCATCACCATATATGTCACTCAGTTTACCCTCATCTACCACCCCACTCCCCCTTTACCCTCTGGTACCCACTAATCTGTTGCCTGTGTCTCTGAGTTTTTGTTTCTTTATTTGTTTGTCTTGTTCCTTTGTTGTTTTCAGTTTTATATACCACAATAGTGAAATCATATGGTTCTTGACTTTTCCTGTCTGACTTATTTCGCTTAGCATAATAATCACAAGATCCATCAATGTTGTCGCAAATGGCAATGTTTCATCTTTTGTTATGGCAGTGTAGTATTCCATTGTATATATACCACATCTTCTTTATCCAATCATCTATTGAAGGACACTTTGGTTGTTTCCATGTCTTGGACACTGTGAATAAAGCTGCACTGAACATCAGAGCACATGCATGTTTATGGATAAATGTTTTCAGATTTGTTGGGTGTATACCCAGGAAAGGAATTGTTGGGTCATATGGTAATTGGTTCTTAATTTTAAAAAAATATATTGTCTTTTATTTTTTAATATCATATCTTTTCTATTTTTATGATTCTTTCTAATCAGTTGCATTAAGTTTCTCAAATATTTAGAAACAGCAATTAAAACAACCACATGTTTTGCTGGTTTCCCTTCTCACCATTGTTTATTTATTGTGTTTTACCATTTACTGTATTCTTTTAAAAAAAATTTATTGGGGGGGCCGGCCGAGTGGCTCAGTTGGTTAAGAGCTCGCTCAAGAGTTAGAGCTCTGAGCAACAGCAGTTCAAGTCCTGGCCCGAGCTGAGCAGCCGCTGAGCTGCCAACAGGTGGCAGGATGGCTCAGCTAAAAAAAAAAAACCCAAAACAAACAAAAAAATTTTATTGGGGAACAGTGTGTTTTTCCAGGAGCCATCAGCTGGAAGTCAAGTAGTTGTTTCAAGCTAGTTGTGGAGGGCACAACTCAGTGGCCCATGTGGGGATCGAACTGGCAATCTTGGTGTTATGAGCACTGCGCTCTAACCAACTGAGCTAACAGGTTGCCCCCATGTTTTTAATTTTTTGAGGACCCGCCACACTGCCTTCCTTAGCCTCTGCACCAGTCTAGGTAATGCTTTACTTCTTAAGCTGGGTAGTGAGAATATTCTTCTTGTTGTAATGTTCTCTATACATTTATGTATTTTTGTAATATTTAAAAAGAGCAATTACTTGATGCTGAGGCATCCTGTCACCTGGGGCTGAGGAAAGAAAAAACTCCATCTTATTAGTTTGCACTATCCAGAACTACTTTAATGTGGTAAATTTGAACAACTCATCAAATCCAATCAGTCACTATGGGACAGGAGTTTACATACCATACATCAGATAATAATCCATAAGTTCCTATATACATTGTTGCACAGGATAGTGCCTGGGTTTGCTTGCATTGGAGTGCTCACAATATTTGGCATAAGAATTTGAGCAAAGTATCGTTGCAGCAAACGAAGAGGATCAAACAGAAATGGACAGCAGGTTGTGAAGCATGGAATCTGTGTAAACAGGCCATTGACTAACTTTGCTATGGTTCATTGTTTATGTTTGTCTCTGTGTATTTGCAGATGGTTTAGTGAAACTGTGATAGGAGTCAGATCCTCAGACATTCTCTTTAATGAGGTGGACCCTGGAGAGTAAGAAACTGCACATGCACAAAGAAGGAAATTTTTAAAGAATATCTGGAAATTTTGCTGTGGAGTAAAAAGATCGGTCTAAATTTTTTTCTGAAGTTCCTTCTGGCTGAGGGTGTTTCCTGCTCCTGCCAAGTACCACCTGCAAAGAAGGAGCAGGGAAGTGCTTGGTCTGAGTTCCCACAGGCCATGCTAGGGAGATGAACACTTTCAAAGCCCAGGCTGAGCAGAGGCCCTGAGGATGGGGTTAGCAAAGCTAGATAGAACAAAAGTGTTTCCTTTTTGAAGAGGCTTCTTTGCACTTCAGGCTGTGGGTGGGGTATTTAAGGATTCAAGAATGGAAGGAAACTCTGGGTAGAGCCTGGGAGCTGAATTTTACTGTTTTGTCTGCTAGAATTAAAATGATTTTTTTCTTTTCTTATTAAAGATTTTCAAAAAAGATGTTTTATATTATCAAAGCTATACACGCTATTGTAAGGAAGTTGAAAAATACAGAAAAGTAGGATGGAAATGAAAAATTCATTTAGTTATACCACCTAGAGACAGCCACCATGAATAGTTTGCATATCTCTTTCTAGCCTCTAGTCCATGCATATCCTCTCATTTCCATTAATTGTTGTGGTCATATGTTATATTAAATATTGTATCCTACTTTCAATGAATATTAGACATGAGTATTTCCTGTCATTATGAACTATGTGTAAGTACAGTAGTCCCCTGCTAACTGCTGTTTTGCTTTCCACGGTTTCAGTTACTCATGGTCAACTGTGTCTGAAAATATTAAATGGAAAATACGAGAAATAGACAATTCATAAGTTTTAAATTGTGTGCCATTTTGAGTAATGTGATGAAATCTCGTGCTGTCCTGCTCCATCCCACTCGGGGTGGGAATCATCCCTTGGAGCAGTGTATCCACGTTGTATATGATACCTCCCCATTATTAATATTTGGCTGTCTAGGCTATCAGATCGACTGTCCCAGTATTGCAGTGCTTATGTTCAAGTAACCCATTATACTTAATAATGGCCCCAAAGTGCAAGTGTAGTGATGCTGGCAATTGGAATATACCAAAGAGAAGCCATAAAGTGCATCCTCTAAGTGAAAAGGTTTGTATGTAAAGGGGAAAAGCATAGTATACGTAGGGTTCAGTATGTTTTCACGTATCCACTGGGGGTCTTGGAATGTACCCCCCCATGAATAAGGGAAGACTACTGGTCAGTTTTATTGGTTATATAATATTCAATTGTATGCCTGTAATTTACTTAACCATTGAACCATTAGGTTTTCCCCCTAGTATTTGATGATTCTAAGTAATACTGCAATTAACATCATTGTGCAATAAGTTTGTGTACATCTCTGTTTCCTTAGGACACATTCATCCATTCATTATATAAATATTAGTGAGGGCCTACTATGTGCCAGGTACTATGCTAGGTGCCAAGTATCTGCCTTGGGTGTTTTATACTGCTATAGGGAACAATGGAGAAGGAGCAAAATTAAGAGAAAAGATGGTGGGTTCAGCTTTCGGATGTGTTGAGTTTGAGGTGCCTGCAAGGCATTCATATGGAGATGTCAAGGGAGCAGAGCTCAGTGGAGAGGTCTGGATAAGCTATAAAATCACAGATGTGGCCATACAGATGGTAATTAAAGCCAACTGAGTGAAAGAGATCGCTTAGGGAAAGAATGTATGTAGCCCCGCCCTGAGAATGTCTGGCTTTCAGAGGTTAGATAGCAGAGTGGAATCCACAAAAGCACTGAGGAGAGGAAAAAGGGGTACGGGGAAAAGCAGGAAGACTTTCAAGGAGGAGGAAATGGTTAACAACATTAAATGCAGGGAAGAAGTCAAGCAAGATAAGGCCTGAAAATGTCTTATTTATTTATTTATTTATTGACACGGAGGTCATTGGCTGGGTATTTTGTTGAGCACAGTCTCAGTGGAGTGTTGAGAAATGAAGTCAAATTGCTGAGTGAGAAGTAAGGGAGTGGAGATTACAAATGTACCTGTAAAGTACATTTGGAATAAATTTGTCCATGAAGGAGAGCTGGAGAGGTATTTAGTGTGTAGGGAGGATTTTTTTCTTAAGATGGCTGAGACTTGAGCATGTTTATTTGCAGATGACAGATAAGAGGGACTTGAGCATTGTTAATGGGAGAGGATAAGAAGGGAGGGAGAGAGAGGGAGGGAGAGAGGAAGAGAGGGGGAGAGGAACCTACAATTACTGGGTAGATATAAACATTTTAGAGTCTATTGATATATATTACTCATATGCTTTCTCAAAGGATTTTTAACCAAAATACACTCCTACCAGCAATTATAAGATAGCTTGTCTAGTGGCCACTTTGTCATCCTTAAGTGCTATAAAAACATTCAAACAAATAAAAACTTTGCCAAGGAACCTCATTATTCTAATTTACTCTTCTTTGACTAAATAGTGAGTTCAATGTTTTACCCAGTTGTGCCCATGTGTGTGAATTTAGTCTATTTCTTTTGCCCAAAACGGTTCTAATTTTAGACACTTTTCCATAAAAGGCTGAAAGTTTAAGAATCAGAATGGTATCATATTTTATCTTACCAAAATATATGGTCTACAGTCTTCATCTCCTTAAAAGTATACAACCGTTTCACAACTTTTGGCTCAGCTGAGTGAAGAGGCAGGTGATTTATCATCTGAGTGACCACAGATGGAAGTAAAAGGGGGATCAGGTCTAGTCTTAGACCCCTATCCTTAATCCTTAAACTCCCTTTCATAATCCAGGAAGGCATCCCTCCGGTGCCTTAAGGTTTTGGCTCCCAGAGCTCCCCTTGGGAGCTCCCCTAATGAGCCCGGAACGCTGTGCGGCCCCTTTAAGAGTCCAGCTCCTCCCCGCTCCAGGGAAAGTTGCAGCTTTTTCCGCCTCCCGGGAGGTTGAGAAGGGCCGGCCACCGCCAGAGTGGGGTTGCGGTCTTCCCAGAGCGGTAGACCCTGCCCTGAATCCCGCGCTGGGACGTCTCGCCTCTCTCGTGATACCTGTTGCACCTGACAGGTAGGTTCGCGGCCAGAGGCCGCCCCTTCGCGATAGGTCGGGGCTCCTCCCGGGCCCCCAGCCCCTTTTCTCTGCCTAAGCGCCCCCACCCCCATCTCAGGGACTTGCGCCCTTTCCTAACCTCTTCCGCTCTCCTCTTTCCTGCCCCCTTTCCCCTGTCTGCCTGCCTGGATCGCACCCCCCACGCCTTGACTCCCGTCTGCTTAGGGCGGTCCCTCCCAGCCAGTTTGCTTTTCCCCGGGCCCGTTCCCGGGCCCACTCGTCGCAACGAAGGCTGTGCCCCTCTGTGTACCCTTTCACGCCTCGAGCGGTGTGGCCGGTTTTTCCCGCCTGCGGGAGCCGAGGCAATTCCGGAGAGCCGGCCCTGGGGGCGGGCGTGGGGCCGGAGCTCCTAGCGGGAACTGAGCCCTCGGAGGCGTCGAGTCACCTTTTCGCCGGTTCCTCTGGCAGCGCCCGGCCATCGCGCGTGGTCCTGTCCCCGTGCTCCTTCCGGACCTCGGGCGGCATCGTCTTCCCTGGCCTCGGCCGTCCCGCCACAGGTAAAAAGGCTGCTGGCTGGTTGGCCCCAGTCCTGCCTCAGTGGGCTCCTTCTGCACTTGGGGCGGGGGACCCGGCTGTGTGCTCTGGAGGTGAATTGCTTTATCTTGCCACCTTTCAGGTAGGATTTGCTCCTGGAGGACGGTCTCCTCAGAGCCCTCAGAAGGGGCACAGGACACTTCTACCTCCTGTTTTGGTTTGTAAAGGGGCTTAACATTGAGTGAAATGGTTAGTTTTTGTGGTGAAATCATTTGGTTAGAATTCTGGTGACTTGAAGAAGTGATCTGTTTCTCATAACTAACCTTTTCTTCCCCCAGTACCCTGCTTCTTCAGGACCAGAGGACCTAGCACTCCAGAATACAGCTTTTGGCAGGGTTGACCCTAGACCTTGAGCATCTGTGGCAGAAATTAGTCTTCAGTACATCCCGGACCTCCTGTGTTAACTGGCTTCTCTTCTGCCTTTTCAGCTCCCCACCACCACCCTTCATAAAGCAATTAATATTAAGGTATTAATGACCTAATGTGTTTACCCACTGGTTTGTGGAGAGAATAATGTCTAATGCAAAGAGTTGAGACCCTGAGGAAGTATTTTGTTGTAGTTGTAGGTTGTTTGTTTGTTTTTTTGTTTGTTTGTTTTTAGCACCTGTTGGAAATCCTAGTAGAAAAAGACCACCGACTTGGCTTGTGAGACTTTTCCTGGCAGGAGGTGAACATTTCTGGCAACACAATTTCAGGAGCCTTCCTCTAGGTCAGAGCGGTGAAATGGAGGCCTGTTCAGGGATGATTGGTCTGTGAGCGTATGTAGCATTCTGGTTAATACTCTCTGAGCTTTTCCCCTTAAAGGCTGCTACTAATAATGGTTGTTAGAATCCACTGAGCCAGGCCCTATGATAAGTTCTTGACATAGTTATCTCATGTAATCCTCATGATAACTCTATGCAGTAGGCACTACAGTTATAATTGTGTTATGATGAAAAGGCGACTCTGAGAGGTTAAGTGCCTTGCTCCAAATCACCTCACAGATGAGGGACGGAGCTGGGTCATCTCTGACTGCGCAGCTGTGTTCCTATCCTCTGTCACACTGCCTCTGCTGCCTTAGATGCTAGGAACACTAAATAGCTCACCAGTGAGGACTAAGTGATTACAAATTTCCCTTCCAAGCTGAAGGATAGGTTTTGGTCCTTGACTCTACCCTGGATGCACTGAGGAGGCTTTGGACCATTTACCTCACTGGTATCTTACCCACTTCACCACTTCACTTCCAACAGGGGGGCCAGTTGCCATATTGTCACTCTAAGTACACAGCCCTGAGTATACCTGGCTGAATGAAACTTCTGGGGCTCTTAGCTCAGTAGATGGTCATTGTCCTGAAGTTAGGAGACGGTAACTCTGGATTCTAGAGATGTGTGCCTGACTCAACTTCTTCCTTTCCTGCTAGCTAGGGGAGAACTGAGGATGTGGTATGCCATAAGGATTTGCCAACAGTCAAGCCAGAGAGCCTGAGGGGAAGTGCTTGTTTATTTTATAGTGGGATGGATGGAGTATCTTAGGCAGGGACAGTCCAGGAAAAAATGTCTTCCCTGATCCGATCACTGGGCCTTTGCTCAAACTGCTCTTTTTTTTTTTTACCCTGCAAAGATAACTTGCTGCCCATAACCCACTCCCTGCCATGAATTCCTATTTATCTCAAGATTTAGCTCTAAAGTCACATCCTTTGGGGCAGCCTTTCTGAACACAATTCCTTCCCCTATGCAGAATTACCAGTTATCCTGTGTCCTAAAGCACTTTGTTTATACCTCAGGAAAGCCCTTAGCACCTCTCTTAGTTGTTTTTCCACCTGGAAGGTTATGGCCACTTTAAGGGCAAGGTGTGGATCTTGGAGCTCCCTTTGTCTTAAGCATGAAAAATCAACAAATAGTTGCACTCAGAACTGGGGGCCCCATGCCTTCAAGGGCCTGAGTTCTGGTGATGGTGGGATTGAAGTACAAAAGACACCTTTTTGAGGCGCTTGAAATCTGACAGCTCGGAGTTTTTACTTAAATGTCACCTCAATGAGGCCTTCCCTAACCATCCTGTTTATTTAAACTTGCAGCCCTTCCTGGAATAGTCTATGTGCCCCTTCCCCTACCTTATTACTCTAATGTAACACATTGCGTATTTTATTCATTTTTCTTATTGTCTATCCCTCTCCCTCCTCCATAATGTAAGTTGCATGTGGGCAGGGATTTCTGTCTGTTTTATTCATCAGTGGACCCCAGCACCTATAACAGAGCTGGGCACATGGGTACGTACTAACGTTTATTCAATGAATTAATGAATAACATTACTGTTCTAGGAACTGGCACTTTTTTGTGCTGTCCTGGAACTGAATCTAAGCATGCTCTATCTCTCACCCAACAGCTGTCAGGCTGCCCTGGGCCTGGTTCTCACTGTTTTCCTTCTGCTGAGTTTTGCTTTGAGATTGCATTCCTGATGACAACTTTGACCTAGTTGGAAGTACTTCCTTTCTCTCTCTCTTTAAGGCATGAGTCTCTGGATGGAAACTTCTGAAGTTTGAAGTGGAAATGTAAAGATGCTATGCTTCTTGTGGCTAGGAATGGAGGCTGCACTGAGAGGAGGGGTGTGGATTGTCAGATATCTTGATACATTTTAGGCATTTGGTGAGCTCAGTAAGAAGCTGGAGAAAGTTACTGTGTGATAGGGAAGTGAACAGCCCAAAAGAATAAAAGATGCCACAAATTAAGCTTCTGGCCTCAAGTCATCCTTAGCCTTTTAGGCATGAGGTAGTTATTGGATTATGAACTTTATGGAAAATACATTGCTGAATGCTACTTGTGTAGTACTTGAAACCCCTATGTAACATAAAAGAAAACAAAGTACTGATCTGTTTAAATGTGTTTTGAAATATTCAGAAAGAAAAAAAGGGCTAGAATCCCTTAAAGGACAGGCTTGGAAGGAGTCAGGCCCTTGATATGGTGTAAAATATGTGATTCTTCACCATAACCTTCTTTGAAACTCAAGTTTGCACACAAAAAAACTTCTGCTCAGCCTCCTCTCCAACTAAATGTATCTCCCTAACCTCTGAACATTGGAGTGACCCAGGGCTCAGTCCATGAACTTTTGCCCATCCAAAATCTTCCCACAAACACTCATCCAGCCCCGTGGCTTTAAATACCACCTATCTATACACTTATCACCCCCAGGTTTATGTCTCTGACCCAAGCCTTTCTTTTAAGCTACAGACTCATATGTCTAATGGCCTATATTAAACATCTCTACTTGGATGTCAAATAGACATCTCAAATATAACCTGGCCAAAACAATTCTCCCGATTCCTCTCACATCCCCAGCCCCTTCCCTCAGCTTCCTCTTGGTAAAATGGCACTAGCATCCATTCAATTGCTCAAACTAAGAACCTAGGGTCACACTTGATTCCTCTATTTCTCTCACCCCACCAACATCCAATTAATCAGCAAGTCCTGTTGACCTGTACTTCCAAGTGTGTCATATATTCTGCCACATGTCTCCATCTCCTCTGCCTATCACCCTAGTCCAAATCACCACAAAGTGGCAATAAATATTTCTGAACAACGCTGAAGGATGCATAGATATAAGACACACACATATACAAATATTTCTGTGGGTTAGCTTTCTAATCTGGAAATTGCTGGGTCAAAGGATATGTACATTTAAAAATGTGAGTAGGCACTGCCAAAGTTACATCCATGAGGGTTTATATTGTCACCATGACAGTGCCTTTCCTTATGCCCTTGCCAAGGATGGGCAGTCTTTTTAAATTTTTGCCAATCTGATAGGTGAAAAATAGTATCTAACTGATTTATTTTGCATTTCTCTGATCACTGGTGAGGCTGAGTATCTTCTCATGTGTGTTAGCTATTTGTGTTTTTCCTGAAACTTGCTCTTTAGTATCCTTTGCACATTTTTCTTTTGGGTTATATATTTATTTCTTTTTGCAAGAGCACTATAATTACTAGGGATATTTACCCATTGCCCGTTATATAATGCAAGGTTTTTTCTCTCTAGTCTGTCATATGTCATAACTTTGTTCATGATATGTACCCCTCTTGAAATCAGATAAAACACACTATAAAACATTTTAAAAACATGTTCATTAGATTTGGCAATTAGGAGGTCAGTGACGACATTGGTGCAGCAGCAGGAGGGGAGGCAGACTGTAGAGTGTTGGGGAGTGAGCACTGAGGACTGAGAAAGGATGTGGTACACACTTTGAAGGGGCTTGGATGTGATGGGCAGGAGAGAGTATTTCCTATAGACAGTAGGGCACATGGGACAAAAAACTGCTGTTAATTTTCATTTGTTTTATTTTAAATATAGGAGAGAGGTGAGCCCATTTGTGTGTAGATGGCATAGAGCTTGATGAGGCAAGGTCGCTGAGAAACCAGGAGGCTGGTGGGCTCCAGAGTGAAAGAGGCAAAAAGACTGGCCTTAGAGAAAGGGAGGTGGCTCTTCCATTGAGACAGGAGAGGAAGCGGGCAGGATTGGTGAGGCCAAGGATGAGGAAGGAGCTGTGGAAGGACAGGATTTTGAGGGACGTCCCATCTGAATAGAAAGGTGAGGGGTTGGAATAGCCTTTGAGAGGGATGGTAAGAGGATCTCTTTAGAAGTATATCATCCAGATTGCCATTTCAGTGAGCCAAGAAAGTCTGGATAACTTTAATGTGTCTCTGCCCCTTCACAGAGCTCTGGATCTATTTTCTCCAGCAGCAATCATCAGCCCAGGTATAGAAACAGAGTGTGAATAATCTAGTTTGGAGGATTTTTCTGGGTGTCTGTGAAAGAAATATAAGAGGGCAGGAGATTAGACACTGCTGGCAGAATAGTTGAAATGATGGACCTCTGTGGCTTTCATATCTATGACTATGTAAACATACCTTGAACTCGAGTAATTCTTAAGACATGGAAAATTTCCGTGGCATCCACACTGTTTTCTTGTTTGTAGCTCTATCAGTTCAGGCATCAGAATAGCTTTAGTACCAGTGTCTTTTACCTGTTGCTTGCAACTTATAAGAAAGCATGGGTTGATTTACTGAGGGCCTTCAATGTGCCAGTTTCTAGGCTAGGTGCTTGAGATATAGTGGAGAAGATAAGATAGACTATGGCCTTTTTTTATGGAACTTAGTTCAGCAGGGGAGCTATGTATTGAACAATGTATCACATAATCAATAATGTAATCACAGTTGTGATAGTTCTGTGAAATTCAGTTTTTAAAAAATCAAATTGTCACATTGGCTTTTTCCAATAGGTTTTACCAATTTACATTTGCCAGCGAAGTATTAGACTACCTCCTACATTTTCCCTCTTTAAAATTGAATATATGAAAAAAAAATTGAATATATGTTTGTTTGTTTTTAATTGGGGATGTAAGGGAGGGGAACAGTGTTGGGAATTGGGGAGGGGGACCAGCCAAGTTGTTGTTCTTCAATCTTAGTTGTGGAGGGCGCCAGTCGCCATCTGACCACCCCTC